TTGGCGAGATCCTCAATAAGCTGTTGCGTGAAAGCTAATCTTGACAGTTTAAGGTTATCCGATGTATTTTATTGGTATACTATGTGTATGCATTGATAACCATACGGCGCATAAGATTTAAAAGCTACCTATTTCCATACTTTTAAAGTTTTTCGTCCATCATTATAACTCTCTGTCATCATATCCATAGGTACTTGGGGACAGGACAATTTTTTTTTGGCCATCTCCCTTTTTTTCCAAAATCCATTATGTTATCGTTTTCTATTAATTTCAATCATTTTCGCGTTTTTTCTGTATTATAAGAACATAAAATGATAAATATACTATAAATAACTTGTATTTGCTATTTACTATCAATTCCATGTTTACTATCCACAGCTGTTACTGATGTATATATTTTTTGGAAAATAGGGGAAGGTAAAAATAAATCGTCCTGTCCCCAAGTACATGTACCTATGATCATATCAGCCAAATCTATGACTGCTTTATAAGTGCTTGAAATGAGTCCAAAAATTTACACAATGTTACTGGGGTCATCAACATCAACAAAAACTTCTAAAAAAATCAATTTGTCAACACAAAAATGAAAAAGAATGTGTCCACACTACACGAATGCCCCACTCGCACTATCATTTTCTATGTTCAGTGGACCGTGAAATTGAGGTCAAAACTCTAATTTGACATTAGAATTAAAAAGATCATATCATTGGGAACATGTGTACTAAGTTCCAAGTTGATTGCACTTCAACTTCATCAAAAACTACAATGACCAAAAACTTTAACCTGAAGCGGGACAGACGGACGAACGACGGACGCACAGACCGGAAAACACATTGCCTTATAGGCGGGGCATAAAAATGTTGCAAAAACGAAAGTCGCGTGAATCTTTTCACCTAAAAACAATGAAAAATTAGTACGATGTTAAAATTTTGATCTTATTTTTCTGTAATGACCAATTTGAAAATAACTTACTTTTGATTTTTGATTATTGTTTGGTTGAAATCCACATTGTCTCCACAAAAACCAAAATTTCTCTTAAACTTGGGGATTCATTTTAAGATTATATTTTATAAAAAATTGCTATGTATGGAAAGAAATGGTGCTTCATTTGTTTTGTTCAGTGTATATAGGAAAAATCTGTTTTCCTCCAATAGCGAGAAAAGAAAGGACAGTGAATGCAAGTTTTCTTTTAGAACATCAAAGTAAATATGATATAAAGTGTCCTTTTTATGCTGTCATAAAAAAAACCATATTTATTGGTTTTTTAATCGCAGGAAAATGTCGAATCTTCTCTGTTTAATTAATGTAAAGTTTACCAGAATTTAACCCCAATCACTGCCAATTATATATAACATACGAACGAAAGGATACATATGCATTTTAAATCGAATTTCTAAATTGCATCCATCTAGTATACATTCTCTCTTTCAAAAAAAAAAAAAAACATATCTGATGTAAAAAAAAAAATAAAGACCGCATGGTGAACAAATACGGTGTTTAGTTCTGTTGATTTTGCCGCTTTTATTTTTCACAATTAAAATTTTATGGAAACTTTTTTTGCAGCACGATTCGAAGATAACAGTTTTTGATTTGGTAAATTTCTTTTTTCGGAAACGTAAAATCTAAAATTTATATAAAAAAAGAAAGGGAGCTCACGTCAATAGATATCAACAATTCACCAAAGTTTTATGCAAATTGGTTAAAGCGTTTTGGAGGTAATATCCGATATGTTGACGACTGACGGACGGACAACGGTATACCATAATACGTCCCGTAAACGGGCGTATAAAAATACACTCCTAGATTATCAAATAATCAAATAATCATGAAATATTTGGTCTGGTAATCAAATAATCACAAAAAACGTCCAAGTAATCACATCATCAAAAACCCCACGAGGAAGCTCAACTATCAACTGTTTGTTTGAGCGCTGTGGATCCATCTCTTCGAATTTAAAAAGAAATAAAAAAGTTAAAACCTACCTATGCCCCTGAGATTTTTAATAAAATTATTACCGAAAAAGTACAATTTACTTCTACGTATACGGAAGCAAAACTTCTCAAAATTGCCGTTCAAATGCAATCACTGAAAGACGTCGTACCCTTTTACGCAAAATCTTATGACGCGACGTTATTGTTATCGTCACTGACGGCAAATATTCTTGTGTACATCAGAAAAAAACAAGCTTGGCAGTAAAAGGAAAATTGCGAAATATTCCCTGGCACTGAAACCCGCAGTATAACCTGGGTAAAAGTGGGGCGTCCGTTCAACTATGTTCGATGTAAATGTAAGCAGCCATGCTCAGTTAATTTGTAGATATTAAATCAGATACCTCGTGTAGGGAAAATGTCACTATCTCTGCGCATTAAAACCTCTATAGCGTTTCACTCTTTCATGGTGCCATCTGTTGTATTTTGGAAGGCAACATTTTTTTTTTAAATTTCCGTAACGTTTATTTAAAACGGCTTCTATTACAAATCGGAGATTGAAGTAGTTTCTTACTGAAGTAAAAAAAAAGTCGGCTTTACTGGCTCTTAATTTTTTTAGATTAAAATTCCAACTAGTGTTAATCCCGAGTAACCGTAAAAATTTAGGCTCAATCCTAAATTCCCGGTATGATAATAAAACCTAAGTACAGTATTTATTGTTAACATGATGTCGTTCAAATAATGCATGAAATATTTGGCACTGGACGTTATGTCTCTTGTTTGTGTGTCTTTAGTGATGTTCGAAACCTAAAATTAAAAAAAGGCCTGAAAAACAAGTTTGTATCAGAACTGTTGAAAAAAGGGAAGTCAATTCTATAATAGAAAGCCCGCCGTGTAATATTCGCCGACAGGAATGACATAAAAAGGCATATATCGGAGTTTAATAGTACAAAATAATTCACTTAGTAAACGATTAATTCAACTGTACTAAAATTATTTGTATGTTCGCTCTAAATATGCATGAAATACTTGCAACTGGACAATAAGCAATTTCATTCAAAAGTTAATTCATATGTTACAGATTAAATTTGCAATTATGATCATCATTAACAACCGGCGTTGAACAAACTAATGCTAATAAATGACCACTTCATCAACTGTGTCCCCCATCATGGAATTGCCGTAAACGTTTTTGACGTTATTGAGGGCATACATGTATTAGCGCTAAAAGACGTGAGACGTTCTGGCGTTTAACAGTGGACACGTTTTGGCGAATAACAATTCTCGGACACGTTTGGGGTTTATGAAATCGGACACGTTTGGGCAGCATTGGATATTACGGACACGTTTGGGGGGAATAGACACGTTTGGGGGAATCGGACACGTTTGGGGGGAAGGACACGTTTGGGAGTGTTACATATATATACCTCTAAATCATTCACGAAATTTTATAAAATCACAAATCCCTCCTTCTCTCCTTTAGTATTTATATAAAAAAGGACGATGAAAATCTCCAATCTTTACTCTGGATACCTATACTTCACACAAATCGTTATACAGAACAATGTAAAGCCGGGTGGTTAAGATGTTCAACTAAAAATCTGTCTACATTGCATACCACCATTATTTCTACAGTAAAAGATGGCCTTCAGAAATATTGTGATTAGGTATATCCAACTAGCGTTGTTCCTAACAATTCTGAATATCTACTCCAAAATCTCCAATTACAATCTTTACGATTTTGAAGTTATATCAATATATATACCTTTTTTTCAAGGTCATGTAAAATGTAAAAACAACACTGATTCCTACAACAAGTACACCGATAATGATGTCTTCAAAATGCTGGAACTTTTGTTATACAAATTTTTTTTTTTATTTTGGTCGATTAATAATTAAATTTTAAGTATCTAATTGTGTACTAGTCTAAAGCGTAATTCATACAAAAAAAAAAGCCTCTTGCAAAGTTCTCTTATTTTACTTTCCTACTTTTTCATGTTCTGTCATTCAATAACACACATTTCAATGAGTCCTTTCATTTCATATATCCAAGTACACATAAAGGATACTATCAAAAGTAGAAGGTCTGCTTCATATCTTTATCTTTTCCTCGATATTGACACAGATAGACTACTTCAAACTAGAATCTTTGACTTAGGGGATGATTTCAATTTTAAAATTCTATACTAACTATTCCTCAGCAGTAAATACCCTGTTTCATCGTATTGCGTTTGGCAAAACCTTTAGGAATTTTGGGTCCTCAATGCTTTTCAACTTTGGACTTTAGTTGGCCCTTTTAATTTTTTTGATGCGAGCGTCACTGATAAGTCTTTTGTAGACGAAACGAGAGTCTGGGGTACAATATTTTAAGCCTGGTGTCTATGATGAGTTTATTTACATATCTCAGTTTTTCGTTACGCTTGTGCAAGTTAACACTATACGGACTTCATTAGCTGGGGTGTGCTCCTTACAGAGAAACTGCTCCAACATAGTTATGAGTTAGAACGACTGAAATCGACACTGCATAAGTTTTGGGTTGCTACCCAATTTTGTCAATATGTCGGAACTATAAACAATTGTCCAGAGAGTGAGAGGTTTAGCTAGCTATAAAATCAGGATTAACCGACAATATTCTTCGAAAAGTGCTTGTACCAAGTCCGGAATATGACGGTTGTTTTCCATTCGTTCCGTTGGTTGATCTAGTCTCACGTTAGATCTTGTCAGTTTTAATGACTTTCCCCCTTTTAAATTTTCCTTAGACTTCGGTTAATTTTGTCAATACTTTTTTAAGTTCAACATCACGAATTGCTTGACCGATATGATATGTAGGTGTATCAACTGATCATCAACATGTTAAGATACTAGTATAGTCGTCTGATCAGTAATGTTATCGATTGTGTCCAATACTCGATTGAGACATATTAACTGAGTGAGAATTCGCATGGTGTGTGATGGATGCATAGTAGGGGATGCTTACCCTGTCGACGCACCTGGTTGCGCTACTTTTGAAGTTTATGCAATTCCCTACGTTTTTGATTTTTTATCATAATACACTGCACTTTTTAATTTCAGTGTGCCATGCCATGCGGGAATATTACGTATATTGAACAAAGCAAAACGTGTGAGGAAGTATGTGTAAGTACTAAATTGATCAGTTTTCTGATTTCAACTATTTAAAAAAAATTATTGTTCTGAGTTTGTGTTTCTTCTAACATACATTTAATTTATATGACTTATCATATGTTTAGAATGATTTACTGTGCTGATAGTTATATCGGGGTGCATCCGATATAATATATAGATATACGAAGGTAAAGATTAAGATATAACGTTGAAATTGCCTACATTTAAGAACTCTTATCGAGCTGTTTAAAGTAAAACCACTAAGATGAAGGCACACCGACGTACTATATAAACATGCGTGTCACTTAAATACTTAGCATGGTGAGCTTCTCTGACGATATCACACAAATGAACAAAAGTTAATACGAAATTATTTTCCTCCAACGATAAAAACAGTTGATAAAATATCAACACAACTTCTCTGAATCTCTTCATGTAGAATCTGAAAAGAAAAGGTTAATAAGAAACCTATTCTTCTCACTCGATTTATTTACTTTTTGTTTTTTTTTATTATAACATATTTCAGACATTAAATTAACATGATACCAATGTTCAAATAACCTTAACTCTATATATGTATATTTGTATGAATAGTATAATGTCTACTATACCCTTTGTAATACAACCCACACACAAAAATAATAATCCTTTGGTATTGGTTGGGTGAGAAATTGCAAGGTTTTGTCTTAATCATTTTCTTCGTACAATCTATATTTCATATCGGACGCTTCTCGGCCTTTTGAAATTTCAATTATACGTCAGAAAACTCAGAAGATATAACATTGCATGTTCAAATCGTTAATCAAAGCAAATAGAATACCTGAAAGTTAACTCAAAACTTTCTCGAAAACTCCGCATGATCCTCCAACGAAGCTCTGAAAAATAAAATAATAAAAGTTATTTGACCAATCAGTTATTTTTAAAATCTCTGATACAGAAACTCATTTTCACTTGTCCTTGCTAGTTGAGGACCCTAAATGTAAATGAATCTTAAATTGTTCTATGTCAATACCAGCTTACTTCATTATATTATTTATCCAAATAATAGATGATGAATTGTTGTGCGATTTAAATAAAATTCAAAGTCATGCAGGCAAATTTTGCTCACGTGAATTTCACATGAATATCACGTAAAATTCACCTCAAACGAACTTATACGTGAGTCATTTTCATGTGAATGTTACCTAAATTGAGATTTACCTGAATCTCACGTCAATTTCACGTGAACTTTACCCAAAAAAGGTATATTTTCATGATTTAATTGAATTTGAAATTTCAGATGTTATTTGAATGACTTTATTTTGAAAAAATTCATGTGATCTTCTCGACTGCGAGCTAAATGTCCAAGCGAGTATTTGAAAAAGTGATACGCATGTTTATACAGTACACAAGTTAGCTCTATCCCCCCTCCCCTGAGTGATTTTACTTTTAAATAGCAGCATCAATTTAAAGGCAATGCGAACAAAATATTAGTAGTGCAAACGGCTATTTAAAATACATTTTAACTTTTTTAGCTGCTACATGGAATCATCTGTATGAGTAGCTGTGAATTTGCAATGACAACTGGGAATTCTTCTGTGGTATATGATTTTGAAAGTGGTAATTATTTTTAATATATACATTACACAATTTGTTAACACAACCTTTCAATATGTTAATGTCAATTGCATTGTCTTTATTATAATCATAATTAAGGTTCATTTTATATATAATTTGTAGTGACATTTATCATCAAATTAAAATGGTTCCTCAGGACGGAATCCAACCAATGAACTAGGGTAACTCATTGGGATATACCTAATTTTTTGACTCTGACGGTATCATAATTGTAATTGTTTATGTATATATATGAATGCATTGCCAGAAAAATAATTCGCCTGTTTAAAAAAAGGGGCTACTATTATTATTTTAGGACAAGTCACCGAGATTTAAATGGAGGTATACAAAGAAATTAATCCTGACAACATAAAAAAAATGCACCAACACTACCCAAGCAAACAATATACTCTCACTGTTGCTAATTTGGCTTGTTTGAATTGTTCATAATAACTTATTGAATCCCTTACCATGACGTTACTAAAGCTCGATGAAATTTTAACAATAGGTTAAATTAGGTAAGTGGTACGGAGAAAATTTGTTGGTTATAAAATAGAAAATGTCATACCTTAATATTTTTATACAATCGTTATAATAGATATTCTCTGAGGAATAATAATGTAAGGCGTGGTATTTATTACAGTTTTGATATGCTTTCTCTTCCGTCTAATATTCATAAAAACTAGACTTATAATTTAGTTTGCAAAATGCGTGATTCTTCAACATAAAATTTATGTGGCGCTCAAACCAGATCTAGCTAAAAATCAAATCAATCAAGAAGTTGTAAAGCACTAAAAAATTGAACCCCCCAAATGTCTCGCCATAACTGGCTATGGGCCTTGATGCATTGGGGCAGGATAATCTTACTTCTACTACTACAGGGGGCATGAAAGACCAAACATTTATAAATAACACAGTATATACTATTTAAAAGTCATACAATTTTTATTAAGATAAAATTAGAGAGCTATTTCTATTTTTATGAAAAACATTTATTAATTATTTTAATTTTAAATTTTGAATTTTGTTGGGTCATCACTACACGTTTAATACTTTCAGTTTCAAACCTTATGACATAACACCCTCTATGGTAAGGCCAATTCTAGTATATATGGTCATAAATCAATTCCTTCTATTTTTGGAGAAATATCATTATTCTGAAATATTTTAAATAATTTTGTTTATCATTTTTTTAATTATTTGTTTTTTAAAACATAGGTGCACATATAGATTCAGTTAGATCGACATGCCAACATATCGCAGTCAAAGGCACAGTGACTATGTTCCTATACTGGAACGTTCAGCTCAAATATCACACTGATTTTGTTTTTGTTGTTTCTATGATTCGTGGGAAATCTTCTAAGACATGGAAAACTCTTGGACAGGTAAAATATATCTTAGTCTATTTATATTTGCTATTTACCAATATATATGCTGTGTACAAATTGTAATGTTGTACAAATTATGATTTGTATAGATTTTTTGAACACGTTATCAATGTTTTATGTACCGCTTAACACAAATGGATGATGCAAGAACACAATCTTATGTTTCTCATATTTCTGTCATATTTCCATAACTACATGATACAGTTTAATACTGAGCATTGATACAAAAACATTATGAGAACACAAAAAGACTTTTTATGGATATGATTTTGGTATAAGAAGAAAAAATAAAAATAGAATTTAAACCATTCAGGTGTCATTATTTCCAGTTTAAGGACAATGAAATAGCAATCAATGTTAGGTTGAAGTATATAAATTTGAGTTTAAGCCATTAAACTGATACATTTAAGAAGATAAACTTTTATCACCTGGTGCAAAAAGGTATGTGTCAAAAAACTTAAACCTTGTAAAAAAACCCTGAACAAATCACAATTTGTACAACATTACATCTTGTACACAACATATATATGGAAAAGATATACGTGAGATGACATACAAAAGAGTGAAAACGGCCTAAAACGATGAGCGTAAAACTCGCGGCATACTCATGATGATATTGATTTTTAAATTTTCCAGTCCCAATTCTTAAATCCGGTAATTTCTGTTATTGTTTTTTTTGTTTGAGAATTTGGTGTGGATGGTAGATATTTGATCGTTTCTGTTTCATTTATGAACATTTTTTATAGGTTGGTACTAATTTAGAACTAGACATTTGTATGGAAACCTGTAATTGATACCTTGTAATTTTTTTTTTATGTTTGTCGGGTTTTGGTATACCCGATATTTTTTTCATTCGTATCCGGAAAAAAAGTGTGAAGGATATGTTTTTGAAGTCTAAGACCCTGTCTAAACTGAACTACTATTATAATGAATAACATAGTGAATACAACTGGTCAGTGTTTGAATTCTGTATTGTGATTAGAGCACTTCTATACAAAGGTATTAAACTATTCATGACTTAAAGTTCTCGACTGGAACAATTTCGTATAAGTAGTTACACGGTTCAAGACTGGAACAATTTTGAATAATTACTTAGCGATGTTAATAATTCATGAACCGACCAATTCTGTAAAGCATATTGCACGATTCAAGATTCTACAAAGGGGTTAAACACGTCAAAGATACCAATTTTATATTGGCATATCAGACGCAAGATTGGTCTACATCAGACTCATTAATGGTGTTTGAATAAAAACAGCTAAAAGGCCAAATCCAATACGAAGTTGAAAAGCCTAATAAACCGAAAATTCCGGTTGTCTAAAACACGGATAGGGTAATCTATACTATGGATAGGAAAACATTAGTATTTCGAACATTTTATAAACCGTCCATTTACGTGAAATGAACAAAACAATGATATTTCATGTCATCACAAAAGTGTTTGTCTACTGTGCTTGTGATGCCATCGGGAACAAAACGTCAATAATCAATGAAATCGATCCAATGATTGTAAACACCCGTCAAATATACCTGGCTTATAATGTTGTATGATAGACGCAGGATTCGTCAACATAAGACTCATCAGTGGTGCTAAAGTAAAAACAGTAAAAGATTCACTAATTGGAAAATTCAATACAGCTGGTGATATGGTTCACCGCCTCTACAAAAATCCTTAATCGAATAATCAATGAAAATAACGATAAAACCCTTGTTGAATATACTTTCAATAAATATGGACATTCAGTGTAAAAAGACCAAAGTGCGATCGGTTGAAATATAACGTTGCATCACCTGCCATGTAACTGTGTTATGGTAGATCAAATATGTTTCTACTCTGACAAAAGGGAACTGAACTTATATTGTTTGAACTGCTTGAAGGATGACTAATCTCCGTTACTAAATATGCTTTGTTTGTGTTGCTGTTGTCCCTCCGTTAGAGTAATATTCCTACTGGTTTCACTCCGTGTTTTTCTGTTTTTCCTATTAATTAAAAGTTATTCAAGGAATACATGTCAATAAATAAATCATACTTTTATACTAGCATTCATTACGGTTTAAAACCAGTAGTGCTACGAGTCGGAAACGCAAAAATTCTCCAAATGAACATCAGTACGAGAACTAGTTTTCTATAAAAGGCTTACGCTTGATCATAATTTACAATACAAACTGTAACTTGTTACATCGTCCAATTCAATAAATATAATGTCGTTCAAAGATTTCGATGATTGCTACTTAATTTTAATTGTTATTGGAAACGGAAAAACATGATGAAACATGAGTTTAAAAAAGTCAAGTCTTGTTTCGAGATTAATATTTTTATTTCAAAATTGTTGAGAGGTCGAGTTAACCTAGAGGTTGGTGATATTTTTGTTTATAATAAGATACTACTTAAACATATAAGGTATGTTTAAAATCGGTAAGCAACCTGAAAATAAAGTTCTGAAAAAAAAATCTTCAACGAATTTTTTAATTCATATATTAAGCTCTAAATCGTCACGAGTCAAAACAAGCTATTTAATGTCTGTCATTGACACAATTGAGACAATCGTCACGAGTCCAAACAAGCTATTTCATGTCTGTCATTGACACAATCATCAGAGTCAAAACAAGCTATTTAATGTCTGTCATTGACACAATCATCAGAATCAAAACAAGTTATTTAATGTCTGTCATTGACACAATGATATTTGCAAAATAACTCTTGACTAACGTTTGTATTACCATAACTATTTAATGTCTGTCATTGACACAATTGACACAATGATATTTAAAAAATAACTCCTTACTAACGTTTGTATTACCATAACTATCCATTCGTTTTATATGGATTAAAAAATAAGTCCCATCAAATCGTTTGCAGCATCTCTAAAGTAATTAGAATAAACGTAAAAAAACTCGTAGATGTAAAATTAAATGAAAGCCGAATTACATCTGCTATTTGAAACGTTTTAATAAAAGTTAAAAGACATTTTGATTTATTATCGCCAAAGGTATACTTTGATTTTGAATTAAAGAAAAAACCTCTTCTGACGTAGGTTGAGTTATCAATATAGACAACAATAGTGCATTGACTTGACATATCAACGATATAAGGACGAGGCTTAGAAACGGGGAAATGCGAGGCTCTGCCGAGTTTTTTCCCCGTTTCGGGCCGAATCCTTATATCGTTGATATGTCAAGTCAATACACTATTACTGTCTTTATACTGCAATTTAGATAAAAACATTTTCAATTGTTGTTTATTGTGTTAATGTTATTTATTCGATTTAAATATTGGGAAAAATCGCCCTTTAAAAAGGCCTCATATCTTGCGGAGAAATATACAACACTGCACAATGAAATGTACGTAACCTGTGGAAACCAATCGATGGTGAACGAATTCGTTTGAGTATGGACTAAAATATCAACAATAAGCATTAAAAATAATGATTTATAGGTTTCAAACAAAAATATTAACAAGTGAAGTATGTTTTTCCAGCAATTGAAAAAGAAATAAGTATGAGTCGTTCCACGCTTCGTTGTATACATTGGAAACAAGGACAGGTTGAAGAGGTCGTCATGAATAATTAAATATAGTTTCGGCTGTACTATCTAAATATTCAAGAGAAAAGTGATATGGGTCAGTGACTGTATATGACATAGAAATATACAGTCAAAGCATTTTGACTGCTCAAATAGAACGAGTGCAGTATAAATATTTTTATGACACGAAGAAACGTTTCATAATTGAAGAGATGCTTAATAAAATATGCTATGGTAATCTTCTTGTATGCCAAAAAGGGCTTAATGCCCACGCATTGGCAATATCTTTCATCATATATCGAATCAGAAATGCAAACCTATTTTAAAATCAGCTTATTCTAACCATCTCAACATTTTAAACATCTATTTCAACAAAGGTCTTCAACTAAAAGACGTGTTGCATGATATCAGCATGGACGACTTCAAGTATAAAGTTTCTATTTGCATTGATCTATTTTCTCTGATTGGTATTGCTATAATTGGGATTAGACCAAACCTCGGATATATTCCCCGAGGGTATCACCCACAAGCTCAGTAGTCAGCACTTCGGTGTTGACATCAATATCAATTATATGGTCATTTTTATCAATTTCCTGTTTACAAAAGTATGAATTTTTCAAAATACTAAGGATTTTCTTATCCCAGGCATAGATTACCTTAGTCGTATTTGGCACAACTTTTTTTGAATTTTAGGTCTTCAATGCTCTTCAACTTTGTAATTGTTTGGCTTTATAACAATTCTGATCTGAGCGTCACTGATGAGTCTTATGTAGACGAAACGCGCGTCTGGTGTATTAAATTATTAGCCTGGTACCTTTGATAACTATATATGGCAATTCATTAAGGGGATATAATCCCCTTTTATCTTAAAACTCAATATGTGCAAGGTCCTTAGTTCTTCTTTGACAGCTTATGAAAGTGAAGTCAGAACTTATCACAAGGGAAAACTTTCAATAAAAAACACTACCTATCAGATATTCTACCGGTAGGACAATCAACCATTTAGTTTGTTTAAATAAAGTGTAAAATGACAAGAATGGCTTCGACAAATACAGTCTTATGTTTTCTGATAACAAATATCGTAAATATTTACCACACTATAGAAAAGCCCTTTATTTCATGTTTTAGAATATAAAAAAAGTCTGTTCATAATTTGACTTTGAAAAAAGTTTTGGCAGTAATTTGACTACGTAAAATACGTTCTCCTATATGAATTCAAGTCATATTAATTTGAATTGATGAAAAGATTCTGACTGTAATATTTCCTTTCTTTTATGAATATATTTATGGTGCAATGATAAGATGATATTTATGTTGATCATTTTACATTCCACATCATTGTTTTGAATAAGTTTAGGTCGTGCTGTGCATTGTTTAATTATTAGCAACGTATATGAAAGACGTGTACTATTTATGTTTCTTTACATTTAAAGAAAATAAGTTCATTAATGTTAATCATATCTGAAGATGACAGA